ACGTCTAGCTCCTTAGCATCAGAGCGTGTTAATAATACTATAAGAAATACTAATGATCTGATGGTCATTTCAAAAAATCCTTTCTTAGCGAGCATCTTCAAGCCAAGAGGAACATATGTGCCAAATTTCAAGTTTGTGGGCTTTACGGTTCTGGAGATTTCGTGATGATGCATGAGTGGTATTTCACTTATATATATAGATAGATATTTGGGGGGGGGAGTCAAATGCACCCCACAGAATGGCACAAATCAACCTGGATTTCTTATCCTAAAAGCAAAGCGGGAAGCAAAATTGGCAACAGCCCATTTCGTATCACCAAGAATTGTCCAGTTAACCCAAACCAACCCCGCTCACTCCACACATTCTTCTACCCGCAGGTCAAAGACAGAGTGAGCCCCTGCTAGAAACGGTAGCCTTTACCTTCTTCGAAGGTGCAGCAGCGGTCGTCGCAGGAACTGAACCCGGAGCCAAATCGTCTGAAATTCAGAACAGAAGAATTGGCTGCCATGGCTGGGACCTTCCTTTCCCAGCTGCTCAACGGTAAATTTCCAACGAAGTTTAGCAAACTTTTAACAAAGGAAGAAGCAACACGCCGCCCTTTGGCTTCGCGGATCTCTGATTAACTACTATTTTTTCTTAAAAACGAAAATTGCCTACGGAGCCGACGGTCAGCAGAGCGATGTGCCACATTCTGAGAAAAGCATTTTATTTTGCAAAGGAGATCTTGACACCAAAAAGTCTCTCCGGGGAATAAGAGAATGTGTGGGAAGCCTCTACACTCGCCGGTTAAACCCGCAGGCGTCAACAGGGGGTCTTTTGTGAATGCACCCATCACACCACACGTTGTGATGTTTTGAACGGCATCCGTCCCCATCTCCCCCCCCCGTTCTTTAAAACGGTCCTCGACTTATGACCATTGAGACCAACATTTCTGTTGCTGAGACATCTGTTCAGCCAGCTTTGTCCCATTTTATGACCTGGCTGACCATAGTGGTTTAAGTGAATCACTTTTAAGTTAGCAACAGAGTCGTTAAGTGAATTCTTGACTTTGCTTGTCGAAAGGTCGCGAAAGGGGTGAGCCCTGTGGGGGTCACGCTGCAACTGTCATAAATGTTAGCCGGTTGCCAAATGTCTGATTTCATGACCCTGGGGAATGCTGCAATGATTGTTAAATATGAAAAACGATTGCAAGTCACTTTTCTCACTGCAGTGGTAACTTCGAATGGCCACTAAATGAAATGTAGTAAGTTGGGCACTGCCTGTACTCAGCTTCAGCTTCTGCTTCTTAAGGCCCCTTTCCCTGCCTCACCACCACCCCACCCTCAGAATAAATATCCCGGTATCGAGGTGGCGCAGTGGTTAGAGTGCAGTATTGCAGGCTACTTCAGCTGACTGCTAGCTGCAGTTCAGCGGTTCGAATCTCCCCAGGCTCAAGGTTGACTCAGCCTCCGTCCTTCCAAGGTGGGTAAAATGAGGACCCAGATTGTTGTGGGGCAAGAGGCTGGCTCTGTAAACCGCTTAGAGAGGGCTGTAAAAGCACTGTGAAGCGGTATATAAGTCTAAGGGCTACTGCTATTGTTATTGTTCTTCCTTTCCCCCCTTAATTCCTTCTTTCTTACTTTCTTTCTTTTCTTTCTCTCTCTCCCTCCCTCCCTTACTTACTTTCCTTCCTTCCATCCCCATCCATGGTATGCAGTGATTAGAAGTGGCCCAGTGGCTAGAGTGCAGTACTGCAGGCTACTTCAGCTGACTGCTAGCTGCAGTTCAAATCTCACCAGGCCTTCCGTCCTTCCGAGGTGGGTAAAATGAGGACCCACATTGTTGGGGGCAAGAGGCTGACTCTGTAAACCATTTAGAGGGGGCTGCAAAGCAATGTGAAGCGGTATAGAAGTCTAAGTGCTATTGCTTCCTTCCTCCTCTCCCTCCCTTTTCTCCTCCCTCCCTCCTTCCTTCCTTCCTTTCTTCCCACGGTAGGGCAGTGATTAGAATGTAGCACTGCAGGCTACTTCAGCTGACTGCTAGCTGCAATTTGGCAGATCAAATCTCCCTGGCTCAAGGGAGCCTTCTGCCCTTCCGAGATGGGTAAAATGAGGACCCGGATTGTTTGGGGGAGGGGCAAGAGGCTGACTCTGTAAACCGCTTAGAGAGGGCTGGAAAACACTGTGAAGCGTTATATAAGTCTTAAGTGCTATTGCATACCAGAAAGGTAACAGGGTGGCTGAACAGAGGCCTTCGCAAACCCCAAGATTTCACACCTGGGGGGAAAGGGCAGAAATTGGGGGAAGCAATACGTCATACCGGCTATGCTGAAGAACTTGGTGGGAGGCTGGGAAGAAGTCTGCAAAGACTCCAGAGCAAGGCCAGGAGAGGTTGGAGGGGTGGTCATGCCACAAACAGCAGAGGGGCTCCAGAAAGGCGCCTGAAAAATAAATTGAGTGTTACGCCAGAGGATGAGGGGGGTGGGGTGGGGTGAAATGGCTTTGAGTAGCAATCTGAGCTTCCCCCCTCCCCACATGCTCCTTCGCCCAAGGTCCACCATGGGGGGAGAGAGAATAATCCAGCTGTGGAAATCCATCCACGTTACTAATCCACCTACAAGTTCTGTAATCCGGTGGAAATCCCAACGCTGGAGGACCACCCATGTTATTATGATGGCCATAATAACAGTTGTGTCCGACTCTCTATGATTCTATTCATTCACTTACAAACACTGCGACAACATGGAAATTCAACCATGGGCATCCACACTGGTTATTTAACAGAATAACAAGGTTGGAAAGGGACCTTGGAGGTCTTCTAGTCCAACCCTAGACCCCTTCAGACAAAGAGCTGGCCAGGCTCTTCTTAGAATAGAATAGAAGAGTTGGAAGGGACCTTGGAGGTCTTCTAGTCCAACCCTAAACCACTTCAGACAAAGAGCTGGCCAGGCTCTTCTTAGAATAGAAGAGAAAAGAAGAGAAGAGTTGGAAGGGACCTTGGAGGTCTTCTAGTCCAACCCTAGACCCCTTCAGACAAAGAGCTGGCCAGGCTCTTCTTAGAATAGAATAGAAGAGTTGGAAGGGACCTTGGAGGTCTTCTAGTCCAACCCTAGACCACTTCAGACAAAGAGCTGGCCAGGCTCTTCTTAGAATAGAAGAGAAAAGAAGAGAAGAGTTGGAAGGGACCTTGGAGGTCTT